ATATTTTAGATACGGCCGCTGTTTTTTTATTAATGTATGAGATTACGGGTATGCCGGGTATATAAAAAAATCTTGAAAAATTTCTATTTTGATTAAATTGAAATCAGTGCGGCCATTACGTGTGAACTCTGACCTCAAATCATTTGGTCTTGCGTTACTGTATAAGAAAGTTACTATAGAAAGTGCTAATGTAATTAGTGTCAATGCAATCGTGTTAAGTATTGCTTTATAAAATTAAGCAAGAAAATGAGTATTCCAAGTGATATTACAATTATTGAATCATATATATTAAAGGCTTTAAATGTTGTTGGATGGTTTTGGCATCATTTTTCTTTTATCCCATGGTATTTAGCGAGTGGTAATTTTAAAAAACTAAAATGTGGGACTTTGCAAGCAAAATCTATCAGTGGTTTACCAAGTGGGCCTTACCGTAACATAGAGTCGTTATCTGAATTAAAAACAGGATTTGCTGGGTGTCAAACTATCGACAGTTTATTTAAGTACGTTTTTCACTTTTAGTTGCTAATTTTTGTTTTATTTCTAAGCTCAACTATATTTAGATAAAAACTGAATAGGTTTAAAAGTTATAATTTAGGTTTAAAAAAGATATTCTCTTTTTTAAAAAAATAGCTTTAAAATATTAACTTTGTATTCAATTTTTGAATGGAATTATTATGAGCTGATCTTAAGGAATTAGTTTACAATATTAAGCTGAAAATTCATTTATCAATTACTTGATTGTAAGTTATTATTGTAAAACAAAGACTTGAGTGTATGGTTTAGACACCTTTTAAAAATAGAAAAGCTTCTAAAGTAGTGTTTTATTGACACTTAAGTAAAATGCAGAAAAACAGAAAAAATAGAAAGAGTTCTAGAAATAAAATTTTTTTATAGATGTATCCAGAAAGTTTTTATTTAATTCAGTTACATTTTTATTATTTCTATTCTATTCATTCATTACATTTTTATTCTTTCTATTCTATCTAATTCTTTCTCTAAAATATGTCTTTTTTATTATATAAGTCATCTTATATAACAAATTTTTTTGAAGTGGATGTTTTTAATTGTATTTGAACCATGTATGCATAGTATATAACCATATTTTTGTGTTATTCAATATAACTATTACCTAAATGGTAATAGTTAAATAATATTTTATGGATTTATATAGTTAGTATTATAAGTATTAAAATATTTTGTTTTCTATAAGTGCTAGAATTTTACTCTTAAATATGCCCTTTTGTGTCAAGAAATAATTTTTGAATTTTTTTGATTTAAAAAAAAATTAAAACTACTTTACTTGCAGTAAAACACACTTTGATTTTTAATAAGCAATTGTTAGTTGTCATGTTAGCTGATGGGTTTTAGAAATAATTGGTAAAGTTAACTCACAGAACAATAATTTTGTTTATTTGTATTGTATTATACCACTAACAGTGGTTATTTCTCTGTGGTTTAATCTATTTTTTTTCCCAATATTATACTCTTAGTTTTATATTATTAGATTTTTTTTTAAGTTTTGTTTCAGCCTAAAAAACTTTCAGCCTATGAAACTTTGAAAAATAGTAGAGATTAAAATTTTGAAAAGATAGGAAAGTGCTCCCATAATGCATATAATGTTTCATCACTAATAACATTTCTTATTTTAGTTGTAAACAGTCCAAGAGAAATCTCTTGTTTTCTTCTAATTTAGGAGGAATAGTTTAAAGAGTTTTAAAAAGTTGTTTCAAATATTTATACCTAGCAAATATTTATACCTTTTTAAATATTTATACCTAGTTTTTCTTGCTTCAAAAGTAGCTGGTTCTTTTTTAAGATTTGATTCAATTTTCTGATGTTCAAATTTGATCCAATTTAATAGTGATAATCAAGTTTCATTTCAATGTCTGACTGTTCAATAAAAGGTTGGAGCTAAATTCAAATCAATTTTTTCCCTAGATGGCTGAAATAATCATTAAATGAGTTTTGTGGTTGGTTATTGTGAATAATTAGTTATCTCTTTTTTTTATTTTGTTTTCAAATTGATCATCTTTTTTCAAGATGAAATAAAATATTGCAAAAACATTTGCTCTAAAATATAATCTTATGAAATAAAATATTGCAAAATAATATTTAATAATATATAATTTAATAGTTGAGTAAACTAAAATTTGACATGTCTGCACAAGGTTTATATAGAAATGTACCTGTCAATCTTTAGTTTACTGAACTATTAAATTTAAACTAAAAAGTTTATTTTCCACTTTAAGTATAAAAAAGATTATACTTTTGAACTTTTTAGTCTTTGCAGAGATTTACGATATTTAGCAATGCATTTGTCAAAACATTTGTAATTAAGTTGAACTTTTTATTCTTATTTAAGAAACGGAGTATTTCCTGATTAAAGGAGCTGAATTTTTTTTTAAAGGATAGAAATTTTTTATATAAAGTAAAATAACATAAAGTACAAATATTTCATTTGCATTGCCACCCTTGTCCTCCAACATATGTAGTATAGTTTTATATTAATATTAAAGTTATTTTTTTAATTTTGTTTAAAAAAAATTTTTTTTTTTTTTTAAATATTAAAAAAATGTTTAGAAAAAATTACAAACTCACAAGCAATCTTAGCCAGTTTTAAAAATGAAAAGATGAATTTATAAAATAGAACAAATTATATTATTAAAAAAAGATTACAAACTCACAAGCAATATAACCCACAATAATCTTGTAAAAGTGTAATTTGTTCTATTTTTGACTTAAATGGTAATCAACTAGTTGATAAAAAATCAATTGCAGAATGTTTCAATCTTAATTTTTTTAAATCATTTTCTCCCATCACAAGTAACCTAAGCTTACCAGTGTTTAGTATTAGAACTAATGCAATTTGTTCTCCAGACATCAGCTCTTTATTCTCTAGCAAAAATTTAGAAGCTTTATTATCATCCCTTGATACCTCTACTAGTTTCAGTAGGCTCAAAAAGTTGCTCAGCTAGTTTCAGTAGGCTACTTTTACTTATATTTAAATGCTCCATGGTTTTTGGCCAAGTTCCGTCATATTGGAAACTTGTAAGTAAAAGGTTGTTGTACTGATCCAGAAAACATTGGCCTATTTCACTTACTTCTATCATTTGTAAGGTTATGGAAAAGTTACTTGGTGATTTTATGGTAGATCATTTGTACACCCACAATTTATTATCCTATCATCAACATGGATTTGTTTGAAATCATTCGTGTACGACTAATCTTTTAGGAGTATTAGACATTATTACCGAAGTTCTTAATGATTGCTGCTCTGCACTACTAATTCTTTTAGACTTCACTAAAGATTTTGATTGTGTCTCGTATATTCTTCTTCTCCTAAAACTAAAATGATAGGGTTTCAGTGATCCTTAATTGGATAAAAGGTTTTTTGAGTAATAAAAAACAACTTAATTGCAAAAATCAAAAGTTGATCTAGAGCTTATTTTATTAAGTTATTTGCTAATGACATTCAATTAATTGCAAAAATTAAAAGTTGAACTAGTCCAAAAAGATATTGATCTCTTACTGCATTGGTCTAAACTTTGTAGTATTGAACTTAATATAAATAAATGCAAAGTAATAAGCTTTTATGGTGTTTTTGATGTTTTAGACTACTTTTTTGGTATGCTTTGTTAGAGTGATGTTATCTACACGGTCGTTGTATTTGTTGTTTATTTGCGGACCATTAAGTAGTTAAGTATAGTATTTTTTGCATTGGCCATTTATTAATACAATTATAATCAATTACTTATGTATTTACTTAACCCTTTCAATATTAAGCAATAGATCTTTTTAATCAAATTTTTCTTTTTTATAGTTTTTTATGTAATTTGATTTTCTCCTTTTTTATCAATCACTTTATCAGAAGGATTTTTTATTATTTTTCTCATGGATTGTAATTGGGAAAAGATTACTACATCTGTCCAACAACATTCGTGGAGTAGTGAAATAACATCCGCACATTTTTGTGTAAGATTATCCGCTTTTTTTTCTTTACTGAATTAACATCTGTGCAACAACATCCGAAATTTCATTGACGTCTAATAACATCTTTAGAAAGATGTAACTACATCCAAGAGTTTTTCTCGATGTGTAACTACATCCGCCTAAAATAATGCATTATTAAATAAATTAAATTTTCAGGCGTAGTTACATCCAAAAAAAATCAGATATGTAACTACATCTGGTTAAAATAATGCATTATTAAAAAAAAAATTCCAGATGTAGTTACATTTATAAGTTACATATATAATTATTATATTATATAAGTGCTGCTATATTGACTGACAAATAGCCTGATTCGCAATGGAGTGCTGCTACATCAACTGAGGGTTAGGTTTAGGCAGGCAGTCTATCAAGTAGTTAAAAAAAAAAAAAAATTATTATGCTTAAAATAATTCATTACAAAAATTTTTTTTTGGCGGATGTAGTTATATCCGAAAAAAATCAGATGCGTAACTACATCTGGTTAAAATTATGCATTTAAAAAAAAAAAAAAAAATTGTATGTAGTTACATTCGAAAAATCTACTGATGTAGTTGCATGGATGTTATTATATATCAATGAAATTTGGGATGTTGTTGCACAGATGTTATTATACATCGATGAAATTTCAGATGTTGTTTCACGGATGTTATTATACATGGCAAAAACGAGTGTTATTACCCTGACCCTTGTAATTTAGTTGAAACTAGATTATAATCAATGATTTATTTTTTTTTAAATTTTAGTTGAAAATAATATAAATGAAATCATTGCAATCTGATAATATAAATTCTCTCGCAAAATTAAATTTTTACAAAATAAATATTTTATAAAACTTTTTTATACATATTTTGTTGAAAACAAGTTTTTTTACCCATTAAAAGAAATTTCCATGAAAAAATATGATTCCAATCAAAAGTAATATAAAGTTTATGCAGGTTGACTAAAGTGCTACTAATTTACTTTATAATATGAGTTATATATTTCACATAATGATCCACATCTCTATTTAGAAAAACTGTCCTCCAATATGGTGATAAAAACTGTATGGGAACTCGAGAGCTCATTGCAGAAGAAGATGAAGTCCAAACTAATGGTCGCGTGTTTAAAAAAGTGATATTAGGTGAATATCAATGGTTAACATACAACCAAGCTTATGATCACGTAAAACGTATTAGCAGTGGTATTAAAGCACTTGGTGTAAAATCTAAAGATTATGTTCTTATTTTTGCTGAAACAAAAACAGAATGGATGCTTACAGCTCAAGCTTGTTTTCTTAGAAATTTTTCTAGTAAGTTTGTTTGTAGTAAGTTTTTTTCTAGTATGTTTTTTTCTTGTAAGTTTTATTCTAGTAAGTTTGTTTCTAGTAAGTTTGTTTAAAAAAGTTGATTTTTAGATTTTTAACTATAACTTTCTGTTACTATTTTGAGTATCATACAAATTAATTTTTATAGCTTGTGATTAATAACTTTTTTTTTTAATTTTATTATAAGTATTTACCTTCATATATACTCATAGTAAAAAATTTATACATACTATATTAAATATATATATGAAAAATAAATACTAAAATTTTCATTAGTAGTTTTGATTATGTTTACTATTCCAGTCAAATGTGATAAAAGTTCTGACACTGCAGGTGACATTACTGTAGCTGACAGATATAAAGTTTATTGATTTTTATCATTTTAGTTCTAATAATAAGCAGTTTTTTCTTTTATAATTAATTTTAGTTGTTACAATCTATACTACTCTTGGTGATGATGCAATAGCATATGGCTTCAATCAAGTCAAGTCACATATTGTCTTCACAGATGCTGTTTTGTTACCTAAAATAAAGAAAATATTACCTCAACTTAAGTTTTTAAAAACAATTATATATTTTGGTGATGTAAAAAAGTCAACACTAAGCGATTTTCCTGAAGATATTCGAATATTTTCCTTGCAACAAATTGAAGATTTAGGAGCTAAATTAAAAAACAGTAAGAGTCATTTAAAATACACTTTAAAATGTAATAATTTAAATAACAATATAATATTTCTATTTTCAAATTAATCGGTTCCAATTACAATGCATTACTTAAAATAAAACATTATAGATTATAGGTAACGTTTTTGCCATGTTATTGATAATTTTTTGCTGTTATATAAAACTTAATTTGTGCCACCTGAAGACAGCAACTTTGTTGGTCAGCCTGTATCAGATAGTTGGCCAAATTGCTCAGCTTCTAGCTATCAGCTATATATGTTTGCAAGTAGCATGTTCTTTTTTAGGTTGCATTGTTAAGCAATCACAGTATTTTTGGGTAGTTAAAATGCATTCACGGTCATATTTGAATCTAGCATTAATGACAAAGCTTCATTTCCAGAAAGCATAAAAGATTCTATAATCTAAGCATATTTTGTTAATTGCTTTGTAGAACACTGTTGAAAGTCAATAATTGGTAGTTGATCAGACCAGAAGAAGACAGAGAATCTGTAGAAGATATGGTTTTTTAGCTGCATTAAAATTGATTAAATTAATCTAGCCATTTAGCATAGTTTTTTACAAATTTCTGTGTATTTAACATTTAAAATTCTGTGTATTTTAACACTGATATTTCAGCATAAATTAGAATGGGCTGAAATAAGATGAGAAATAAAATCTGATGAAAGGACAACTCAAAAAGTTTGTTTCAATAATTATTTAATTTTTTATTGGGCGCTTAGATAAAAGCCTAATAATTTTGTAAGTATTTGACATCAACTGCTGGATGTTATTTTGAGTTACTTTTTTTTGAAGCCATTTTTCTTTGAATTTTATTTATTTGAAGCTATTATCCTTGCTATTTAAGAAACTTGGGTAATTATTGATTAAATTTCCTATATATCCTATACCAAGGCAACAGTAAAGATAGCAAGGATGCATCTCTGACAAGCGATGCTAGCCATTTTTTATCAGGCTCTCTGAAACATCATTGGTGGATAAACTGGCCCTGAGAATAAAGTTTCACCTATATTAGTCCTATACTTAATTTTAATTGGATCTTACAACACCGTGATTTTTATTATCTTTCTACTCTCGCCTCTTAATTTATATATATTTGCATTGTGGATTGGTTTTTATTTTCTCTTTATATGTGCATATGTAAATATGAATAGATATGCGGTATACATATATTATATATATATATATATATATATACATATATTATATATATATATATATATATATATATATATATATATATATATATATATATATATATATATATATATATATTTATATATGTGTGTGTGTTTTTTTTTTTATATATTTTTTTATTATAAAGTAATACTTAAGTGTGTATATGTGTATAAATGTGTGCATGTATATGTATATATATATATATATATATATATATATATATATATATATATATATATATATATATATATATATATATATATATATATCCATATTCAGATAATTTGTCTATGCATTGCTTTATTTTATTTTTATTATTTTATATTGTCATTAGTAATTTTTGAATTATTTAATTTTTATTTATTTAATTTTTATTTATTATTTTTGATCAACATATTAACGTGCATGATTGCTTAGAACGTCAATCGGATAAACTGAAAGTTAATGATTAAAGTGCATGATTGCACGTTAACCATGAACTTTCAACATATTAGCATGCATGATTGCTTAGAGCGTCAATCTGATAAAAGTTTAATTCAAGCTATAGGGTATTACATTATCATTGTGTTTTCAATTTAACTTCTTTTAAACTTTACGGATGGATCATGATTTTCTTAAGAGTCTAAGTTAATCACTTAAGAGTCTAAGTTAATTTTTTTTACATTTGCAGTGCCTATATTCTATTATTATCTTTTTACTATACGCTTTATCATAATATATGCTTCTCTCTTCCTAATTTTTTATTCATTTCACTTGGTGTTGACAGCTTGGTCTAGTCCTTTAATACGTAATTTTGCATTATTAAGTAGTTTTTGAGAAATTAAAGAGTAGGGTGTTTTTAAAAACAACATTTTTTGAAAATGTCTGATGGGACCCTTTATATGTGTTCTATGTAATAAATTAATATTACATTTAAAAAATACTTGAATAAAAATTTTTTTTAGGGGTTGCTCAAGAACCTTAAAAATATTTTAAAAAAAAAAAAGTTCTTTAAAAGTATATCATGTTGGGTCTCAAAAGAAGTGAAATTTTATAAAAATTTCAAAAATATTTTTAAAAAATTTATGAAAACGCAAATTAAAAAAGTCTTTTAGTCATAAAATTTAGTAATCTTTAAATAGAATAATTATTGTTTTTGAATGTTTTATAAAATTTCACTTCTTTTGAGACCCAACATGATATGCTTATAACTTTTTTTCAAAATATTAGGGACCCTTCTGATGTTTAAGGTTCTTGAGCGACCCCTAAAAAAAATGTTTATTCAAATATTTTTTAAATGTAGTATTAATTTATTACATAGAACACATTTACGGGGTCCCATCAGACATTTTCAAAAAATGTTGTTTTTAGAAACACTCTATTAAAGAGTGGTAACTTTCATTGAATTCAACCAATATATAAAAGTTAACTATATTAAGATATACTGAATAAAAATCAAAAATATTTTGATTAAAAGCCCTCAAAAATTAGCAGCTTTATTTGTGGCATATAAACTGGCAAACTATTTATGTAACATTTTTTTGTTTACTTTGAATAGTAGATTTACATTAGCAAAAATTTGAATGATATTGGAGGAAAGTTTGCCTGATTCCTAAAAGTAGCGTGTTAAAAGTAAGTAATAGTATTTTAAAATCTGTTTAGTACTGATGCATAAAAACAATGATTACACATAAATTAACTATTTTTAGAAAATTAACAAAAAAAGTTTCAAATACAAAGTTTAAGTGATGCTCAGGTTAACTTAAAACTACTGTAGCTTAAGAAAGGTAATAATAAAAATGTAAAAAAATGTGTTACAGAATACTCTTCAAATGTGTAAATAATCGGATTTTATTTGACATTCAATGTTTATTTTCATAAATATTTCTGCTAATAAACATATGTTCATCATTGTTAAAACTAGTTTTCAGCATATGATGTTGAAAATGATTTTGGGGTAAATTGGCAAGCTCTGCACAATGGTTCTAGTAATAAATTTAAAATAAATGAGAAACTTAAAGTCTTCATTTTGAAATTTAAAGTTTTCATTTTTATTATTTTTATTTTGGTTCATACGAAAAAAGAAAGAAAAAATGTGCATGTGCATTTAAATAAATGCTATTAAATTAAAAAATTGTTCAAAAGTATTCACTATAAATATTTGAAATTTGTGTTGTTTACTTTGAATTTTATTTTTTATCTAATATTTTTTGTTTTTAGAATTTGAAAGTTTAAATTATTGTTTTTAGTAAACGAACCAGTGGATTCTCCCAAACCAGATGATGTTGCTGTTATTATGTATACAAGTGGGTCTACTGGAGTACCTAAAGGTATTTATTTATTCAAACAATGTTTTTTTTGTTTTAAATTAAAACATATATTTTGATATAAAATCAAATATAACTTTTGCAAAAAATTTTAAATTTTTTAGTGGTCCAGATTTATTTTTTTGTGACAAAAGAATCCCTTTTTCTATCCATTTTTTTAAAATACACTGTTTACTCTAATGTTTGAGTATACATAGTTCATTCTTCTTAAACTATTTTGATTAAAATTGCTATATATTACAATAAGCTTGTCAGCACTTTTTAAAGTTGCTAAAAAATTGTTCCATTTTTTAAACAGCTCCTACATCTGCAAAAAAAATTATTCAAGGTCAAAGGTAAAAAAAGATGGTTTTTTATATTTTTCCGTTAAACAGTAATTTTTATTTTAAAAATAGATCAAACAAAAGTTTGATGTACCACATTGAGTTTTTTAGAATGTCTTACAGTAAAAAACTCTTCAATAAATTCTTGATAAACATGGCGGTTCATTAATTTCTCTAGTGTAACATCCTGCAAATAGAAGTGCTCAGATAGCTTAAGGAAAATGCCCTGATGTGTTGATTAAGGAAGCTTTTAATAAGGTAAACGATGGAAGGTGAAAAGCTGCTGATGTCTCATGCATCACAGTGTCATTGTAGGATGTGCATAATTCAAAAGACAAAAAAATTTGTATAAGATGTTTTAAAAAGCGTCAATGGAGAAAAATTGAGATCCCAATTATAACTTCAGTTTAAAAGATTTGGGCCTGATAGCAGACATTGGCTGATGATCGCACTTTAAATGTTCTATTTTAGATTGTTTATTTTTAAAAATTACTAAAAAAAAACCAATGACTTCGGAATATCTTCAAATATTGGACTAGGCTAGACTAGGAATAATTGGTATTATGAATTACTAATGATTAGATATCTTCTCAAATGATTACTGCCACAATTTTCAACATTCAAAATTTTTCTTTCTCTTTAAATTGGCTTTTCCTCTCATACCAAGCATGGTTGAATATTGTGATAACAGTCAAAAAAGTAGATAAAAGTTAATCTGCATGGTATTTCAGTGATAATAATTTTATTATCATACTTTGACTTATCATAAATGTTCGACGTATCTCAAATATTTGGCGTATCTTAAATGTTCTATAACCTAAATTTTTGTAAATATTAGTAGTAAATTGTTTACCTAATACCTTGTCATTCACTTCCAAAAGTTTTTGGCTTTTGTTATAACTTAACCATCGATGTATAAGCATTTATAAACAAATGCTTATACATTCTGATATTTTATTTATTCAAGACTTATTTTAACTCTTCCAATAAAAACTGACAATCACTATTTTCAATGTATGTAAATATTTCTTTTATTGCATCATTCATAGATTTATCCTAAAGTTTGATTTTATCTTCAGTGGTTCCTCTCAAGTAGGAATTATAAAAAATACTCATCATTCATTATCGTTCAGTTCAAATAAACCATTATTTCTATCAACAAATCGATTAAAATCTTTCCACTATCAACAAAAACTGTTAAATGGTTAATACAAATAAAAACATCCCAGAAAACATTTATGTAGTGGATTTGTAGAGGACCTACATAGGCATTTTTGAGCAGTTCATTGAAGTTTTTTATCGGTTACTAAATGAGCGATTAGTTGTATCCACTATAAATGGCCAACTGATAACTTTTCAAAATGTGATATTTTAGCTTGTTATCAATTAGCCACTTTTGGTGGCTGCCACTTATAGTCCACTATGTTGTCTATGAGTAAAACTACAGTGGACCATTAGCGGCATTCGCCAAAAGTGACTAGATCACTTTTGGCGACTTTCAAAATATTATATTTTGTCTAGTCAATGACTAGACAAAATATCATATTTTGAAAAATTATCGGCTGGCCAATTATAGAGGAATAACAGGTCCACTAAAATTCCGCTATAGAATGTTTGCTTGAATAGTTGTGACATTTATAAAAGTATTAAACAGTACAAATCTTAATAAGAAATGTTCTTTAATAAGCACACGTAACCACTCAAAGAAATGTTTATGAAAAGTCAAACAAAATATCGTCTGAGACATAATAAGCTGTATAGGCAGAGACCCTATCTAGTTAAAATTGCCATCATTCTTTTTGACTAACTAGCATGTCTACTAATGGAATCATGCAGTTTCCTAGCATCTCTGTATAGGTGTGTTGGTTGATGTGCTCTTTATAAATGTTACACATCTACTAATTAAGTTTTAAGTAGCAATGTCAAAAAGTATAGTAATGGGATTTACTTTTCAGATTTATATCTTTTAGCAAGAACTTTGCTTTTTTTATTTAATACTTGAAAGTCCTCTGGCCGTCAGCATAGATTTTTTAACAGCTTCATAAATCAATATTTTTCCCATATAAAATGTTTTTAAGTGTATTTTGAAAGAAATATTTCTTGGTTTTTGTTGAATATGTTAGTAGGTTCTCAATAACTTAGTCTTAGAATGGTTTTAATTGACAAAATATATTGTTTTTGTGCTTTGTAGTTTTTTTTAACCTTCCTGATCCTTCATGACTTTAGATGTCACCTGTTGTTTTAAATGTTTTCAGAATATTTCAGATACAAATCTCTGAAATTTTTAATCTTGCTATTACTTTGTAACTGATCATAAAATCATCATTCATACTTATTATTTGTATTTTTTGTTGCTTGGCTAATGCTTCTCAACTTACTTTTGTTCATCGAAACTTTAAGATCTTAAAGTTTTGATAAACAAAAATAAGTTTTTGATTTATATTTTAAGTAATAAAAAAGGCTTTAATTGTGACTAAACTGGCCATAATAGGCAATTTTTTAAACTTTTACAGAAAATTATCAAACTACCATAAATTTTTAAAATAGTTATGAATAACAGGTGGATTAAAAAGAAAGTAAATTAAAAATAAATTTTAAAGTTTATGATTCTATTTTTTTTTTTTTTTTAATTACTTTATATTGACTGTGTAAAATGAACCTAAATCACTTTAGATAAATACTGTTTTTATTTTTTTAATTTTAGGTGTTCTTACTCGTGTTTTTTATTTTAGGTGTTGTTCTTACTGTTTTTAATTTTAGGTGTTGCTTTTACTCATAAAAATTTTCATTTTAGGTGTTGTTCTTACTCATAAAAATGTTACTAGTTGTTTAGAAGGAGCGTTATCATGTATACCTGCTCTCACGTAAATGTTTTAATTTTTTTATATTAGTTATTTTATATTAATTTTATTTGCATTACATTTGCAGATAAATGCAACAGCTATAATGATATAAGTTGTAGATAGTATAACTATTATGGTTAATATAGGATATGGTAAATATGTTAGGTTTACTTTTTTTTTATTGTTAAAGTAGAAATCCTTCTGGATGATGCAAAGTAGTTTAAATTTATGACATATTTTACATAAATAATAGACAATAATTAAACATATCACTTAATCGCCTTATTACAATGGAGTTAATCTTAGGTTTCAATATGTTAACCTTTGTTTCGGCACACTTCACTGCCTTATTTCAATTGAATTTAAAAACCAATGTGTCTAATTACGAATACACTAAACAATTTTTTTTTTGTCTGTCATTTTTATGTGCAAGAAGATTTTAAATTTAAGATTCTCAGTTACCTAATTATATATTACCTAAATTTTTATAGCAAAATAATCAAAAAATTTATTTTTTATAATTTTTAATTTTATGATTAATTATATAAATAAATTTATTTATATAAATACCATTTTATTATTTATATAAATTTTTTAGTGCACAAGATAAGTACATTGGTTATTTACCACTGGCACATATATTAGAACTTTTAGTTGGTGAGTTTTATTAAAAAATGTTATTGTATTCAAGACTGTATCTTTACTTTTCAAGACAGAATCTTTACTTTTCAATATTTTTCATTAAAGTCTTTAAGATTGAAGAGTATTGTTTTTTATAATCATCAATATATCAAAATGCATCGTAACATAGATTACTAACTGATAAAAATCATGAATAGTTTTATTGTTATTTGTAAAGAAATAGTGAAGCATATATATTATGGGTTGTTTTGCTATTTATCTTTTTCAGAATGTGGCGTTCTTTCCCGTGGTGTTCCAATAGGATATTCAAATGCTTTGACACTATCAGATCAAGTACGTTACTTGTTAAAATATTTAATTGTTGTATCATTATTATATATTCAAATCAAAACAATCTTATCATTATTTACTGATATCAAAAATAGGTAAATGTAAATTATATTAATAAATAAAAAGTTAAAAAAAAATCAAAATAAAATAAGTAAATCTGAACAATAAAGATTTTTTCATACATTGAATTTTGTGTTTTATGTTATTATTTTTTTTTAATATTTTAAAGTGCAATCGCTATGAATTACCTGGTTTAACATTTTGAATAAGACAGTTATTTGCGCCACAAATTAGTTTAATATATTTAATATGTTTCATTACCAGTACATTATCACCAGTTATTAATACTTTTATTATATAGTATATTTTTATTATATTATGTAGTATATTTTTAGGCAAAATTTGGTATACAAGTATTTTAGATGTGTTTAATGTCAATAATTATTTTCAATTTTAGTCATCAAAAATAAAGAAAGGAACTAAGGGTGACATTTCAGTTATTAAACCAACAATAATGGCTGCTGTTCCAGTAAGAGTTACAATTAATAATGTTATAGTAATTTAAATTAGAAATGTTTTTTATGAAATAAATTTTTATAGTAGATTAAAAAATTTCATAAATTTTATTTATATTTAGATGATATTTGATAGAATTCGTACAGCAGTTATGGACAAAATTAAAAGTGGACCTCGAACAACTTACCTATTATTTCATTTTGCTTATCAATATAAGCTTAAACAAGTGCGTAAAGGATATGATACACCATTATTAAATCGGTAATTTTTTGTTATTACATTCTAGTTCAGTTTTTTATGCTTAAAAAAGTATAGCTTTTATATTTTTATTATTTATATATTTTTAATTCACATCCTCAAGCTTTTATTTTAAATTTGATGCAATAGTTCAAAAAGCTTCACAAAAGTAACTTAATTTATATGTATAAAAGCTATTTTTAGTTATAAATTAATTCTATAATTTGTCAATTTACATTTTGTATTGCATTTATTGTTTTTACTTTTGTTGTAACAAATTTATGCTACTACTACTACTACTACTACTACTACTACTACTACTACTACTACTACTACTACTACTACTACTACTACTGCTACTACTACTATTTAATTTTCTTTATTTTTACCATTATCTTTTTTGTCTCCTAATTTTTTCTAAAATTATCTGATTTTTATAAATATTAATAATTGTTTAGATTGATCTTCAATAAAGTAAAATCAATCTTAGGTGGTGAGCTTCGGTTTATGTTGTGTGGAGGCGCACCATTGTCTCCTGAAACAGAGGAGTTTTTAAACATTTGTTTTTGTTGTCCGGTAGGACAAGGGTATGGTTTAACTGAAACCTGTGCAGCTGGAACTGTATGTGCAGGTACTATTTAATTCGCTTATGTAAAAAAAAAATCTTATTGGTTTTTGAAATATTTTCTAATTAGAAAGGATTTAGTTTTATAAACATGCATTAATGTTAGAGAATAATTTATTTGCATAGAAGAAAAGTTTAAAAGTGACATTAACTAGAACTAATTGTTGTTAATTAAACTGTTAAGTACTTGCGATTTATTGCCTATATATTTGCTTTTAAGTTCAAATATCTTTGTTAACAAGTTTAGTTTGATTGTAAAGGGTTTACCTTGTATATGAGATAGATGATTATTATTTATAATAAAATATGACAAAGTAGTTAATAAACAAATGTGATTGTCTTGTAGTGTTGGACTGCACACTTTGTAAATAAAAAGTTCCAAGTTTGATCATTGCTATGTCCCTGGTAATACACTGCCCAACTTGTTTCTCTGCACAGCAATCTTCAAGCTCATGTTTCTATGTTGACCAATTTATTTTTTCTGGTAACTTCATATCCCAAAATTTCTGTGGACTTTTCTGTCTGGTGACTGTGCTCCAAAGCATCAATCTTCTTATCGATAAACCACACGTTAAGACTTTTGGCAGTGTGCTTGTGGTTGTTGTGTTGTTGAAATTTCCAAATTAAAGGGAGCTATTCCTTGGCATATGGCAACATGTTTTCTAATATTTTTTTATACATTTTGGAATTGTTAAATCCTTGATCTCGAAATGCCTGTACTTGTTCACTAGAAACATCTGTTCCACATTTATAATGTCCCATAGTTGATAGATGAATTTTGCTCAATGAATTACAAAAATATTCTTAAAATACTGAATAGAATGATTTTTGTTTGATACAATACAAGAATTGAAGTTTTTTAAAAAAAGTTGAGGCGTTTTTATAAGTTTAAACACAACCACTAAAATGATCAAAACAAGCAATTTTAATTGTTTAAATGTCAATTGAGTATTTCCACCTCCAGGCCCCTATTGGTAAAAGTTATGTTTTTGAATTCATTGTTTAATTTAGGGTTGGGAATCCCGAAATCCTGGGATTAAGTATTTAATCCCGGAATTTTTAATTTAAATTTCTTTGTTCGAAATTTGACAATTTTAATATTCTGGATTTTTTTGTGTTTTTTTTTTTCGTTCTACTGCAATCAAGTTCGAAGTTCTTGCAATTATGTTTATGAAATAAGAATTTTTTTATAATAGTTAAAATTGAATTGTAGTAATTTTCTTAAATTTTATAATTATTATTCAGACAATCACCAAAAAAACTATATCTTGCAGAAGTATTTTGCGGCTGAATTTCGGAAGCAACTCTAAATAACTCTAATAAAAGACTGTAAGACTAGATAAAACAGTCTTTTGTCAATGCTTCAATGCGTCTATTTATTAAAAAATTGTTTACAAAAAGGCATTAATAGGGGTAAGTCTAAGGTAAATCTTTGGCTTTATCTAATAATCTGCTATCATTAATGCGCTAGTGTCACAGTTTAGGTCCATCGCTGTCGGTACGCTAATTTGTTTATAACCGATGTTACCATAACTTTAAAATGTTAACAATGCTATAAGTTGCATTCATCTCTCATTATTCGAATACAAATAAGGCGTACCAATGTAAGTTGGATTCTTCAGGATCTGTATCTGCACAATGGTAGAACCAATGTTCCAAATCTGAAATGGGGTTTCCACTCCTCCTTAAAAACCATAAATACCCTTAAAAAAGAAAATCCTCCTTAAAAGTCTTTAAATAATCTTTAAAAAAAGTTAAAATTTGACTGCTCTTATTAATTTATCCTTCTTCTTTTTTTTTTTTTTTAATCATCTAGAAATTTTATTGAAGTAAATGGATTATACTTATTAATGAAGAAGAAAATATATAGTTCTTTGATAGTTTGCAAACCTATATTTCTATTATATATATATATATTTATATTTATATATATGTGAAGTAATATATTAATTTATTTTAACAACAAATTCATTATAATTTAATAACTAAAATATGTAAAATATTAAAAAACCAAAGAATTTCCTTGTAATTCAATAAGTAGTTTTTTTTAAACATGTTTTAAATGTATTAATAATTTTATTAAAATATAACTTAAATAATCTGTTAAAATCTTTCAAAAACAGGTATTTAAAAGTCCTGGGATTAGATAAATGTAATCCCAAAATCGCGGGATTGAAAATATACCTCGGGATTACAAAGCCTAGTTTAATTCTTGACAAACCTAGAGCAAAATAATTTAAAACACAAATGATTTTTTTTCAATTAAAAGCTATTTTGATTCTTTGTAAAATTTCGCTGGAGAAAATTCATTATTTGATTAATTTCATTATAAGATTACTGAGTTTATAGTTATAATATTATAGTTATTATCTGTTTAAGAATGGGATCATTCTACTGGTCGTGTTGGTCGACCTCTTACATGTTGTGAATTAAAGCTTGTTGACTGGGAAGAAGGTTTATAAAAAATATTTCTTGCTATTTTCATTAATTTTACGCTGTTAAAATTTTTTTTATTGTACAATTTGTTATGTATTTTAAAGGTGGTTACTTGACTAGTGATAAACCTCATCCAAGAGGTGAAATAGTAATTCGTGGTCAAAATGTAGCAAGCGGTTATTTTGAAAATCCTGAAGCTACTGCAGAAGTTTTCAAGATGGAAGATGGAAAATGGTCTTTCTACACTGGTGATATTGGTGAAGTGCACCCTGATGGAGTCTTTAAAATAATTGGTATAACCTATTAATTAATAATAATAAATTTTTTTGATTGTTTATTATGTTAGGCCACTCTATTAACAATGGATGTCCTGAAAAAAATCTTTTTGATTTTCAGATCGTAAGAAAGACTTGATTAAATTATCGCATGGTGAATATGTTTCTCTTGGCAAAGTAGAGTCAACAATTAAAAACTCATCTTATATTGATAATTGCTGTGCATATGGCGATAGTCAAGCAAGCTACCTCGTTCTACTTGCTGTGCCTAATCACACAGCCATTATGGAGCTTGCAAACCAATTAAGTGTTAGCGGATCATTTGAAGATGTATGCAGAAACAAGAGTGTGATAGACGCAATAATGAAAGATATCAACGTTTTGTCAATTAAAAGTTAGCATTTTATATTTATTTAAAAATTATTTGTTAGTGGATTTAAGTTTTGATTTGTTAGTGGATTTAAGTTTTGATTATAAAGATATTTAGAAAAAAGGCCAGGTGTTAGCAAAGAATTTTAAACTTTTTTTTTTTTTTTTTTTTACGTTTCAGATGGCCTGAATAAAACAGAACAACCTGCTAAAGTGAAATTGTGTACCGAAAATTGGTTACCTGAAAATGACCTTGTAACTGCTGCATTTAAACTTAAAAGAAAAAGTATTGAAAAATTTTATCAAAGAGACATTGAGATGATGTATCTAAACTAACAAGTTATTATCATTTTTGTAAATAGGTGTTTGCAGTTTTTATATATGTAATTAGCAGATTAAATTTATCGCATTTTAAAAAAGAATGATGTTAATATACATGTTTTTCATATTGTCGCCTTTTTGATTTTCTCTATAGATGCTCGTTTAGTTATAAATTTTTTATATGTGAAAGTTTATATTTTCATATCTGTATAAACAATCTTGTAACGTTTTTTCTACAAAGTTTCTTAAACCAATTGAGATTTTATTTTTGTATAAATTCATCCTATAAATTTTTAAACAATAAAAAATTAAATAATTCGAGCGAATATTACCTGAACTCAACCCTTGTATATATTTTTTCTTTTATTTTTGACAATAAGTTAAAACAATTGATTTAAAATATTCGTTGCGTTATTAATTTATTGTAAAATAAGTCGAAAAAGGGTGTTGAAACCCAGCTATCAATCCGAATCAATGTATTTAAAAAAATATAGTTAAAAGATATCAGACTTCTGTGAATTTATGCAATGTCTATCTAACCTCTCAAACATAAACTTGTTTCAAATCGGTTTTTTCACAAATCAGAAATATTGAGGAAATGTGATTTTTTTTTTTTTTTTGTCATTTTTTTATTTTAGAAAAAATTGTTAGAACCAATTTTTATTGTTTTTAAAAAATATTTCTTTTAAAAACATTTTATAATGGGTTTTTAAAATTAAAATTTTATTTTATAATTTGATGTATTTTATAACTTTCTTATTTTTGTAGTAAAGTAGACCAGGGCCAGTTGGCTGCGGTTTTAGAGGTTGACCTCTACTTGCTAAAACGTTTTGTAAATTTGAAACTTTTTTTAGGGGTTAAGGAAACTTGTTCATATTTGCGACAAATGCTCAAAATAAGTCTGGGAACAAAAAAAATCCCTTAACAATAAATGTTCACATAAATGCTTATGAAAAAAATAAATGACTTAGTGTGTGCAGCAAAATTTTCTAAAAAATGAGAATTGTGTTGGTTCATTTTATGATCGCAAATTAAACTCATTGAGCAGAAGTTCTGAAAACCAGGTCACTCTTGAACTCAAAGTAAAATTAAAAGATCTATCTCTTCTGCAAAAATACTTAGTCCACTTGATAAAGAAAGTGCTGTTAAAAATAAAAAAATAGTACATGTGAAGAAATTTTCAATGGTTGCTTTGTTGTGTAGTTTTAGGTTTTATCAACATTCTTTTTATCAAAATAGGCTATTCTAACATGTTTTTATTAAAAATTTGTTTGCAGATAACTATTCAAAAGCTTGTAAAAGAAACATCAAATGCTTTTGCCAAAATATATCTAACTAATATAATGGCAGCTTGCCTACGTATTTCTGCAGAAAGACCCAATCCTTTCATTTCCATGTATTCATTTCAGATTATCTGGAATGATCGTTGTAGATTCTCTGGATCATTTTTTTTTTCGTTATTAAAAATATTTTACTGGGAGTTTAAAAAACACTTTAGAACTTTATTTTTTAAAATTAAGTCTTATTTTAAAACCACATTCTTATTTTTTCCTGTAAAAAGAACATATCTACACACAAAGAAAAAAAAATTGAAGCCTGTTTTAAAAAACGCTATAGTTTAGTGAGAACTGTAGAAAACATGGCCACTTTTTCAATTACACACTTATTACCATAAGTGTGTTATTGAAAAAGTTTTTCATTTTACTTTAATTTTTAAAATTGTATTTTGTGCTTGATAGAATAGATAAAATGATAAAAATAGATAATAGATAAATCATTTGAACTTGATAAAATAGACAACATTTAGTTAACTAGAATTGAAGACCTCGGGTGCAAAAACTGTAACTTCGTTTTTAAAAATTGTTTAGGAGGATAAAAAACAACTTTGAATGCAGGATAGAAGTATCATTCAATCAAATACTTAGTTAAACGGCATAATGCTTTAATCTAAATTATTTTTGGATCAATTGTTGGAGCATCTTATAATTAGTAATATTTCATTCAAATCTAAAAACCAAAAATAGAGTTACATCGTTTTTGCAGCGAGGTCTTTAATTGCACTGGAGTCTTTATGCTTAAATTTAAAATTATTTTTATTTATCGTTGTATGAAGTAAGCTTTTGTAGAACAGTTTTCTAGAATTATTTGTATTTGTAATGATATACTCATGCGTAACATTGTAATATATATTGTTGTATGCACTTAAACTATTCACACTTGATATAGACTTGGGCATTCAAAATGAAAAATTTATTTTATTTTAAATGCCCAAAATAATGTTTTAATACATTTTTGATTTTTTTGTTGTTTGTAAATATGGGTATTCCTAAGAAGGTCGTGGCTAGTGAGTTAGAGACTTTCCCCAAAAACCTGCTATTTAGGGTCCCGATTTCTTAAAAACCTTTCTACACAGAAAAAAGCTCCTTAAATTTTCAAAACAGCCCCTAAATTTGAAAATGGCCAAAAAATTCGCTAGCATCCTCCCCTCTCGCCATCTATTATTAGGGGTATAGGTTAGCCTAGTCACACCTCTGTTTCCAAGGAACTCAAATTTAATTTAATTTCAGAAAACTAAAAAGCTGGTTGACTAATTTTAGCTGTACAAAACTTAACCGTAACTCCTATTATTTTAAACAACTAATCTTATTATTTTTAACAACCTTAAACTAATCTTATTATTTTTTCTTATTCTTTACACTTTAACTCTAACGATAACTTTTCACACTACAACTATATTCTCGCCAACCCAACATTCTAAATATAGCCAGTATTGTAACAAATTGAAAATATTCAAGCGAATGTCTAACCGATTTTACGACGTTGGTCAAATGTCTGTAGAAAAAGGATGCGATAAACGAGAATTACTCTGGGATTGAAATAAATAAATTAAATTAATCACGTTAGACATTAAAATAATTTTTTGATTATTTTACATATAGGATAAACCAATAAACTAATCAATAGCAATTAGCTAAGTAACAAACTTATTTACTCTCTAGCAACGCTATAGCAACGGATAAATAACTTCTCTTGTCGATAACATGAATTGTTCAAATTTAAAAAGTAATTTTAAAAAAGATTTATGTTTATGATTTTATTTTTCTACTTTGAATATTTTGCAAATAATTGAATGTTCTGCATATTATTGAATGTTCCGTATATTATTATAAGAATATTATATATGATTCATGTCTCGGTAATATATTACGTAATGATACGATGATAAATAAAAAAATACGGACATTTATTAATATCAACTGTGCAATTTGCAAAATACTTTTCAAAATTTTAAAATGATGGATTTCCTTTTTTAGGTGATATTCTAAATTGGGTTTTCTTCGTTATTTGTATTAGAAATGAATGCTTTTGCAAACGTAAAAACAGCGATTTTTAATATATATATATATATATATATATATATATATATATATATATATATATATATATATATATATATATATATATATATATATATATATATATATATATATATATATATATTATATCAATAAAACAAAAGTAATGTACCTCAAAAAAATCTTATACTTACACGTGATATCCGAAATAAAATATTCAAGCAACTGGTATAAGAAATGTTTTCATAAAAAAAAATTAAAAAAAATCGTTTAAAATCTTTTAAGACAAATTTGGTAAATTTCTTATTTCCATGAAAATAAATATTTTCAAATAACGCCAGATTGTCTATTCCAAGCTTTTAATCTTAAAAAAGTATATTAACCGCAAAAATTTGATGAAGTGAAGAAGTTTATCTTGTCATAATACTGATAAAGTATGCAATATATTTCAGTAAATCAGTAAGTGCAATTAGAGAAACGTATCTATAATAAATGTGGCGTTTCTTGATAACGCCAAAGAAAGATTTGCAATCAAAAAATTAAATCAAACTGTCTATAGGATAAATGACTAATATCAATTTAAAAATTTTGTTTTAAAAAAAAAAAAATTTTTTTTCAAATTTTGATTATATATGTAAAAAGAAATTAATTTTTTATTTTAAATATTGAAATTAAGATATTGAGTATTTTTTATTTAATTTAATTATTTATAATAATTTTGAATACAATTTAAAGGAATTTCGTTAACTAAACATTTGGTTTTAAGAATTATGACCTTCTAAAGTTTGAGCCCTGCTCAATTTTATGGGGTTACAAATTTTATATGGTCACAATTTTCAAACGCTGGGAGACTATACTAACTTGTTGCTATCGCGTTTGGGGCAGGAGAGAGCAAATATTTTGGGGTTTTTATGTTCACACACACACACACACACATATATATATATACATATATATATATATATATATATATATATATATATATATATATATATATATATATATATATATATATATATATATATATATATATATATATATATATATATATATATATATATATATATATATATATATATATATGTACCTCAGAAGACAAAGGTATTTTGTGAAAATGAGTTATGTATTAGACCTTTTTAGTTTTTCAGTATCTGCACACAGAGGTGTAAAGACTGTTGTCCTACGACAATGTGAAACAAAAATTTTTTTATATACTTATTTTTTACTTTTTAGTCCATTTCAAAAATATTGCCTAATAAAATTTTTTTTTCGTGTCCTTGATTTTAATAACTCTTTTTTAACGATTTCTTTTATTTGATATATAGACTAATTATTTTACTATTGAACAATTTCTAAAATGTGACAACGACCTTTGACTTCTGAGGTACAGATATACATATGTATATATATATATATATATATATATATATATATATATATATATATATATATATATATATATATATATATATATATATATATATATATATGTATATATATATATATATATATATATATATATATATATATATATATATATATATATATGTATATATATATATATAAATATATATATATATATATATATATATATATATATATATATATATATATATATATATAGTTGCAAGTTTTTTTGTACTAAATAGAGATACAAAGCCTCTTGTACGTTTTTATAGAGTGATCAATATAATGTAAATTAATTATTTACAAAATAGATCATCAATTATATAAAAATATTTAACTAAATGAAAAAATACAACTTTATGATAGAACTTAAAATTTCATGCCCCTTCGGCAATTATCAGTCATATATATATATATATATACAGCTATTCACAAAAGTTTAAACAAGGGTGTAATTTTAAGAACAAATCTTTGGTTTTTTTTTTAATAAA